AATTTAAAAGAGGGAAAGACACGAGTAGGTGACTGAATAAAATTTGGAAAGAGTGAACAAGGTAGAAGAAAGAAGGTAAAAGAGTGGAGTAAGGATGAAGGTGAGCTGAATATAGATACACCTCTAAGAAAAGGACAATTATCATTTTTAAAAAATGAACTTGGCATTTGGGCTTTTACAGCATAATGAGACAGTTCAGTGCTTTTCAGAACTGAGTTTGCATCCAGCTTTTTATGTCTGTCAGTTTTAAACCCAAGCCTCTCTTTGCCGCCTTCTTCCTTGTCAGAGTGAATTTTTAAAAATACTGCGTGTCCTCCTACTCCCTCCAGCTCCATGTGGTGCACTACAACTCTGAGCTCTACCCAAACATGTCTGCAGCGATGACCCAGAAAGACGGTTTGGCTGTTTTAGGAATTCTCATTGTGGTAATAAAACAATTTTGTCACACAGCAGCTATCCATATAATCATAAAAAAGTAATAGGTGTAAATCTTACACTCATTAGCTGGAATATTTTGAGCATTTTAGTGATCATTTAAGCCCAACTTTTCCCAGACAGGTGAGGAGACAAACCCAGCGTTTAACAACATCCTCAACTATCTGAGTCGCATCAGGCACGCAGGTAAGTCTTCTTCCACTTCCACTGTATTCCTAAAGCACATTAAAACAAGAAAACAGCTTAAGACAGAAACTCACACTGGGTCAAAGCCGAGGAGAAAAAGTGTGTTTTTAAAAACAGAGATAGATGGAGCCTGCCTGGCCTCCAGCTATAGCTCATTCCACATTTTAGGAGCAAAAGCTGCAAAGGCTCTGTCTCCTCTGGATTTATAAAATGTCTTCGGGAGAGTCAAAAACACCTGGCTAGCTGATCTAAGAGCACATGATAGCATGTAAGGGTGAAGCAGCTCAGACAAACAACAAGGGGCAAGACCATTAAGAGACTTAAAAACAAATAAAAGAATTTTACAATGGATCGAACCTTAACAGGAGGTCAAGTGAAGGGATGCTAAAACTGGGATTATATGCTCTTGTTTGCTTGTACCAGTTAAAAATTGTGCAGCAGCATTTTGTACCAGCTGTAGACGTGAGAGGGAGGCTTGGCTAATTCCAATCCAAAGAGGATTTCAGAAATCCAGGCGAGAGGTGAGAAATGCATGGATCAGTGTCTTTAGGTGGCATCTAGATAGGATGGGCTTAATTTTTGACAACCACCTCGAATGAGAGAAGGTGGACTCAACCACAGTGTTGACATGTGAGACAGGTTTTAGGCTGGGGTCCATTTTCAGCTGGATCCTCCTACAAATGTTTTTAAACCACATCATTGTTTCACAGTTTCTTTACATTGAATCATTTACAGTGTTTGTGTTCTTTTAAGTGATCTCACTATTTAATAATTTTCAGTAATTAAACATAAATCAGTTCTTTTCAGCTCTGCTTGTCACTGTAAAAAAAATGTTTTAAATTAAAAGCAGTTAAGTTTTAAGAGGATAAAAAAAAAAACGTGTTGTTTTGGGTATTTACACATTTCTTCTTCTCCTTTCATCCATAATCAGACCAGAAAGCGTTCATCCCAGCCTTTGACGTGCAGTCTTTGCTTCCTGAGGATCTTGGGCGATACTATCGATACAACGGCTCCCTGACAACACCGCCGTGCCACCAGAGTGTTATCTGGACCCTTTTCCATAAAAGGGTTCAAATCTCAGTAGCCCAGGTCTGCGCATCTAAAATCTCTAATCTCTAAACAGTGCAAAAAGAGAACAAACATGCCTCATTTTTTTCTTATCATGCTCAGCTAGTAATGTTTTTCCTCACTAATATGAAACAGGTCGATTGAGCATATTGAGTACAACATTAATCCTATTTTTACTTTAAAATCAAAGTGAAATGTATTATTTTTTATCATGATAAATATATGTGAAAACATATCTCACAGCACTTATTATCCCTTTAAGATAACAAAACATTAACTTACCAACAACATATTTACCTGTTTAGACATGTTATGGCTTCCTGTGGATGTGATGAGTGCATCCTGCAGCTGTGCAATGCTCATTGGTTGTATCTGCCTCTGATGAGAACATCAACCCAGCATGTCCCAGTCAGACATATCGGCACTAAATACTGGCCGAGGAGCTGCCTGCATATGATCCGAAAAATCCTGTCCTACTCCAGCAGTGTTATATTTTCTTTATTTGTAACAGAAAGTGTAAACTTGGAATGTTTTTGTGACTTTGACTTAACTTTCAGCACTACACTTTAACTGACAGCTTTTATTCTACCAGAAGGATATAAACTTGCTTTCCACGTGCTGTCTAGAACTCAGTGTAACTTCTCTTCTTCTCCTTTTTATCTCTCCACTCCAGCTGCTGAAGTTGGAGAAAATCCTTTACTCCAGTAAAGCTGAAGAACCAGACAGGATGCTGCTGCAGGACAACTACCGTGCAACACAGCCACTCAACCACAGAGTCATCTTCACCTCCTTTTCTGCAGGTCAGACAGAGTAACTACAACCAGATAATTAAAAGAGACATGAAATTCTCTCTTTCATGTTGCTGTGGTGCACAGGAAGTCACATATTTGCATATAAGCTCTTAGAAAAATGGTACTTGGTTAGTTTAGAATATTAGCAGAATATTCTTTTTAGCCTTTCAGACTGAAGAAATCAGATTTGGGACAGGTCGCAGCCAGTCTGCTTTGAAGTGTTACCCCACTTTAGCCCTTCTACACTGGGTGATTGTAATGCCAATCTGCTGCTCGTGATACAAAGAACAATGAGTACAATAAAGTCAGTGGGTGACCATGTAGAGCAAAGCAAGCAATTAGTACAATGTATTTAAAGCGTGAAAAGTGAAGAGAAATGTGGGAATACTAATGATTGCCGGTGACTTTGTTTGAGAGACAATAACCTTAGGATGGCATGATTAAAGAGAAAAAGAGAGAGAATAAGGGGAAGTGATGGAAAAGGAAAAAGTGTTTCTTTGCAAGCTTATTGGAGAAAAGGATTTTTTTAGAAACTGAACACTGTCTCCATTGTAATCGCAAGAGAAAAGGGAAGAGGAAAAAGAGACAGAGAGAGAAGTGAAAGAGAGAGACAGAGTGGCAGACAAAAACAAAGGAGAAAGAATTTGTGTAAAATGCTCATTGTAATGAGTGGCTGAACTGGAAGACCTGTGATATCAGCACTCTTGAAAAAGGCAGCAAGACTGAGTGGACATAACATTTCATAACACTACGAGTTGAACAGACGATACTGTCAAGATAAACCGATTGGTTGCTCCGTGTGAGACGAAAAATAACAAAATGATTATTTATTCTGTATTTTGTAGAATCGGGGAAGGAGCTCTCGTCTGGTAAGACTAGCAGTTATTTCCATGCATATCTTTGCTGTCACTTTTTGTAGAATCGCTTTTTTAATTCGCTGAATTGCTTTATTTCTGTATTTCTGTTCACTTTTTATTGCTTTCCTGTTTGTCTCTGTGATCATCCCTGCAGGAGAAGTAACAGCCATAGTGATAGGAGTGATGTGTGGCTGTGTAGGCCTGGCGGTTATCGTTCGCTTCATCGTGAAGACAATACGGTAAGAGGTTTTTACTGCATTGCTTCGTCATTTCCATAGTCCCGTTGCTGTTTTTTTTTCTCCACTCTTTCAAAAGCACATTGTGGTATTTCTGTTTTTCTTTTTGGTTTAACTTTACTGTTTACCTGTAGAAACTTTGGGGGGGATCGCCTCACTCCAACTCCTTTCTCTTGGCAGATTTTTTAAACTCCTCCAATTTGAAGCAGTCGTGGTAAACAGGTGCTTTACCTGACCTGAATACTGACAGAGCTTTTGGCTAGCACTGACTGTGGTGTCAGCGCAGATCTTGGATCGGCTTATAGACATATTCATTCTGTTTTCAATCCCTGTGAATGAAAACAATGGTGATCTCATAGTAATCTACATATAAATCATTAATTACAGTATGCTGACAAACAGACATAAATTAGAGTCCAACGAATACACTGGCATAGACAAAACTGTGGATATATTTTGATTTATCACAGATAAACTGGTACCTGCATATATTTCTGGCAACAAGTAAAATTTCTGTTAGAAACACAACATATCAGTATGCACAACAGACTGTTTATAAAAGACTGATATTTTAATGATTGAAGCCTCAAAAGGATTAAAAATTACAGGCACACCTCAGTGTGATCCAATACAACCCAACATAGAGTGCAGCTTCCTGTTGAGATCAGCGCTCTGAGCTCAGTGAATATAGTTACAATATCAGATGGTTTTAACTTAAATATGATCATTTTTACCATTACCAGTGTTGGTTGGGCTCTGATAGAAATGTAAAGAAAGAAATGAAAAGATAAAATTAGCACTAAGATCAGTGCTGGGAATAATCCGATCCTTTGACCTCTGCTGCAATAACATGCCTATTTCATAATTCACTGCCTTCTCTCATGATTACCACTGATTAATGAAAGTATGAGCTCTTCCCATGCCCGAGCGATTTAACTCTTTTCCCCTTGGATGCCTACTATATGTAAACACTGTCTC